GGGGGAGAGAGAGAAACACAGGGAGAGAAGAGAAGATTAGTAGAGATTACCGGGACGAATGGGGGAAGTAGATTGAGAGAGAGAGAGAGAGAGAAAGAGAGAGAGGCAAGACGAAGGCGACCGCAGTGACGAAGAGGGGAATAGGCAGAGAAATTTTGAAAGGAGGTAAGGAGGAAGAAGAGGAGGGGGAGGAGAGAGAGGAGAAGAACACGGAGGAGAGAAGAGGAGGGGAAAAGGAAGGACGGGAATGGGGGAGATAAAAAAAGAGAGAGAGCACATTTGAATGGAGCGAAGAACGAGAGCGAGGAAGAGGAGGGAGAGAGAGTGAGAAAAAGGGTGAGGGAGGACAAGAAAAACAAGGGAACAGGAGAGAGCGAGGCAGAGGAGAGCCCAATGGGAGGTGGGAAAAGCGCAGGGACGAAGAAGAGAGCAAAGCCAAGGAAAGCAAACAAGGAAGACGAAGGCGGGAAAGAGACAAAGGGAACAGAAAGGAGCAAAAATGAAGAGAGAGAGAGAGAGAGATGGAGGGAAGAGAGAGCGAGAAGGAGGGAGGGAGGGAGGGAGGGAGGAGACGGAAAGAGGTCCTCGCTTGTACGTTCTCTTTTCTCTTTTTTTTTAACTCGCCGATCATTGAGTAATTAAGAGAAGGGGTAGAAAAGCAAAAACACCTACCTTCTGGGGGATGCTCGGGAGAATACGACGAGGGTTCAATTGCCCCCTCTTCCTGCTGCTGCTGCTGCAATTGCAGGTCGAAGTATCTTTCCTTATCAAGCTGCTCCTCATCCACGTCATCAGGCACAGGTGATTTTCTACCACCTCGTTTTTTCCTATTTAGGAAACTGAGATCATCAAGGAGATGACGCACATCATATCTGTCAATCTTCAGATGTTCATTTCCCTTCCATGGCACGAAACAGGCGCCAGATTCCACGTATCTGGCCAGATTCTCATCCTCGAAAAACCGGCATGCGAAGCCTGATACCTCTAGACTGGAGGACTCTTCCATTCCCATCGCCATCAGTACTTGATTACCCATCATCCCCGACGACGACGCCGTCATTCCCCTTTTCTTTCCCCTCCTGTTAAATCCTCCTCCTCCTCCTCCTCCTCCTCCTCCACCAGAAGCCTGTGGAGGCGGGAGAAAGACCGTCTCATGCACGCTCTGCGCCATAGCTGAACGACTAGCAACAAACCCTCTGTACTCCTCTCTCTCTCTCTCTCTCTCTCTCTCTCTCTCTCTCTCTCTCTCTCTCTCTCTCTCTCTCTCCCCTCTTACTCCTATCCCCTTCCAGTCCTCTCTCCCCAGCCTTCCTCCTCCTTTCCGGTCGCTCGCCTCAAAACGCAATCCGAGCTCGTCGTCCTTCTTTTGCTTCCAGGGTTTCCTCGATTCAGTCTAGAGAAGCTTACTCTCCTCTCCTCCTTCTTTCAACTGAGCACATTGTTGCGTGTACGAGAAGCACTTCTTTCACTATTTCTTCTCCTCCTCCTCCTCCTCCTCCTCCTCCTCCTCCTCCTCCTGCTGGTAGAATCCGAATCAATCTTGTGGCTTTGCCCCTCGTGGAGGGCCACTTTGCCGATCTCTCCCTCAAGTCTTCTTGTTCAATTGCTCACGCATACAAGACCGGAGGAACACGTCATCCTTTGCCCCCCGCCGACGCTATCCCTCCAATGTCCGCATGTCATCATCGATTGCACGCATGTTATCATCGATTGCACGCGCACGAAGCGACGGAACATGTATGTCATACTTAGACGCCCACCTCTCTTCTCTCCGTCACATAAACATGCCTAATCAATCAAGTTTGCGCCTCCTCCGCTACACTCCCTCCTCCCTCCCAAAACCCCCGAGCCCCACGTGCGGGCCTAATCAATCAAGTCTCCCCCGCCCTCCCCCCCCCCCCCCCTCACCCCCCACGAGCGCCACGTGCGGGCCTGATCAAGTTTCCGCCTCTGCTCCCCCTCCTCTACCCCTCCGATTGCCTCCTCTCTCCCTCCAATCTGCTAATCAAGTAAGTTTCACCCTCCGTTCATCCCCCCCCCTCCCCACCTCCCCGCGCGTCCCCCCCTCCCTATCTTCACGTGTCGAATCAAGTAAGTTTAACCGTTTGATTATCAAAGTTGATCTGGAACTCTACCTGACCGAAATAACATACGACGACCCGCCGAACCACGTGCACACGTCCCGACTGTCAACCGAGGGCATACTCACACTACCTGTAGGACTACTTCAGTTATTTTTGCCCGAAATTGCCGTCAGACACATCCGGATCCGGCCGTAATTACAGTCAGACATATTTAAAATGGTGCTAGTGTGAATGCGCCCTGCGTTGGGACGGTAACAGGATAAGATAAATACTAGTAGTGAATCCCATTATCTTATGACCTGTTTACTGTAGTTTATTTATTTTACTTCTCACAGCAACCCCCAGCGGCAAACCGCCGAGATCATCGCGATCCAGACTCCAGACACTTAACCGGATCAATCTATCGGTAGGGACCGACGGGCGGTATGTGCAAAGGGGAGGGGCGTAATCAGTAATCAGCGCGCGCGCGCGAGCTGATGACTCACGCTTGCTGGGCATTAAATCTCATACACTGTTAATCAGCGCGCGCGAGCTGATGACTCACGCGTGCTAGGCATTAAATCTTATACACTGTTATCTCCACAAATCCAAACTACGTTGTGTCTGGACTCGATCACTAACGCTGCATCTGAACCATCGATCTCTGGCGGCAGAGCATCGCCGGCAGAGATCGGTCGGGACCATCATTAACGCGACAGCCTGCTGCACCACGTAGACCTCCTCAATTTCGCTGTGGCAATTGATTAATCAATCACTAACCCTGTGCTGAACTGGCAAGCGTCACGTGTCCACCAACCCCCCATCTTCGCCCTTCGCCAGTCCCGGGGGGGTCGGCGCCCCCTGCGATTCCGGTACTTTTGGGCCTTTCTGGCTTTGCGCGGGTGGATGGAGTAGAGTCCCAGTCCCAGGGTGGGACAGGGACAGAACGGTGAATGACTCCGCAAGTCAGGTGCAATTCTGTGTACGTATGCGGGCACCGTCGTTGTCCGGGTACATTGCATTTCGATGCGGTCATATTGGGGTGCGGGTCGTTTGGCACAGCCCTATACTTCAAAGCTACGGTTGTTTGTTGAGGAATTCCCGGTCTCGTTTGATTTTCCATAATAAATGCATAATTTTAAATAGCCTTATAAGTCGAGATATATGCCAAAATAACCTTAGATGTGGGTAGAGTGGAATACCTCTCTGACCAAAAAAGGCAGTTTGTGAAACGCAGCCTGGAGTCCGTTGGGGGCCCCATCTTTGCAAAATACCCCTACCGGGTACTGTCCATCTCTGCAAAATATCCCGGTCCTTGCCAAATTTTCCCAGGCCGTAATTATTTTCGTTTTACCCCTCCCGGGACATGTCTTCTTCCTGTTTTGCCCCGTCCTTCATCGTCGCGGTTCCACTCTGCTAACCTTCCACATCTCTCCCATGCCATTCCTCCAAATTCTCCGCCTTTGCCAACTTGCCATCTTTGAGATCCTCCTGCCCCCCACTCCTCTCTCTCTCTCTCTCTCTCTCTCTCTCTCTCTCTCTCTCTCTCTCTCTCTC